TGTTTAATGAGCTGAATGATCTAAAGGTGCCACTTTAGACGTAACTTCTGTTGGCGTGAGAAAGCAAATCAAATATCAGTGATTTCACAATCAATTGAGAAAGTTGCTTCTGTATTGTTTGTAGTGATAAAATTAACATTGGATTGATTACTATCGTATGGTTGAGTTAATAATCAGCTATCATCGTTATGGCCTATATTCATAGTTAAATGTAACATTACTATATGATCGCTTTTCATTATATTCAAAGAATTTAAATAGACTTTCACTACATTCATTTGAAATGAAAATTAGCGTGGAAAATGCAACAAAAAAGCATGACAAGAAGAAATCAATGACGCAGTAATGTAATGATTTTAAATTAATTAATATAATTTTTCAATACCTACGTAATTACAGATAAATATACGTAGTATCGAGAAAAATACCGAGAACTGTGGCGTTTTTTCGACAAAAAAAGCATTTTGTGATTTCCTGATGTCGTAGAAGGGTATTTTTCTTCCTCCTGTATGTAGCAAATTACTTTCTCTGATACGTAGCGTAGTCAGAATCCGCATTTGGTATCTTCCTAACCCCCGAAAATTTGTGTTTTTTTAAACCTCCGTGTGTCCGTTTTTTTGTGAACAACATAGTGCTACACTATTCATAGGATTCCTAGCCAAAATGAATATTCTTCAATGTATCTGGCTGGAACTAGAATCCTTGCTATTTTCGAAAGAATTCCTTAAATTTTGGAAACTTCTCGATTTTTTATGAAACGTTTCTCCCTATTTTTTTACATTTCTTGCAAGAATATACTAAAATACACGTATAAAGATGTTTTAGGTTCGTTCTTCACTGTTAAATCGGAAATTACGAAGAATGCAAAAGTTCTATTATTTTAATTTTTCAAAAATTACAAGAAAAGAAACGTGAAAACATTTAAAGGAAAAATTGAAACGGTGTTTAAGGTAATATTTTTTTTAAATTGTGTGAATTTTAAGCGTAAATTACGCAAAAACCCCTTTTTCAAAAAGTTGTAGTCGTAAAGTATTAGTTCTTTCAGCTAACGCCGCTTCTCGCATCCCAATCACCAAGTGAAACACTTGAAAGCTTCACCATTGAAACAAGAAACAAGAAGAGAAAGCTTCACCATTGAAGAAACACCATTGAAAGCTTCTTCATTTTCCCATTTTGTTTCTTGATCTGTCATGCTTCTTGTTTTTTGAGGTAATAATTTTAAATTGTTTCTTCTGCTATTGTCCTTCATTCGACCGCCATCCTTTGGATATGACCATACCATCTCAATCTTTTAACCTCAACTACGACCATTATATCAATATTGTTAAATACCTCACTCTCTCGTACTCAATATAAATAATATATTCTACTAATAATTGGCATATTTCTTAAGAATGAATATCTCTACGTTAGTTGATATTATTACTTCCTGCTTAGGCACGTAATGGAAATTACACATAATATTGATCTAGAAATATGTCATCATTTATTTGCCATACTATTTTTATACATTTGCCCTGTACTGAAATGTTATAATCTTCATTGTAGTATGAAAACGTGCAAGCCTACACAGAATTGCGAGTTCTGGATGTTCTGTTAATTGAAACTGGTTATTTTGAATTGATGACAGTGTTATGTAGTTCAATGCGCTAATTCTAGTGGTGAAAACCATTGTTCGCCGTCGCCTTAACGTTCCTCTCGAAACGCAATTGTGTCTGCGCTCCGAGGCCTGCTATTGACGTTGCCACCGTGCTTATCACATTCTTTTCTTTTAGGAATATTTTGTCTGGTGATCGGAGTAGAGAAAGCACGGGGATACAGTCACTTGGGATAGGTACAGGAAAAATTGCAGTTGCGTCTGTCTATCAATAGTGAGATCACAAAGTGTCTGTATCCGCTTACGTGAAAAATGTTGTTTGCGCGTTGGCATGTTTCTTATATTCGGCGATATCTAGGAAGCGTGTTGAATCACGACATATTTTGTGTGTGTGTGTGTGTGTGTGTGTGCCACAAATTTACGCCTGTCTCAAAGGCCCCCCATTTCTTCGATCTTCAACTAGGCGTACGAATATACTTTGAATCAAAGGTAGATGAGGGTAAATGTTGAGAACCACAGAACCGGTGTTCAGGTTGCTCCCGCTATTTAAGAGGCCGGTTGCATGGAACTATGGTCTATGCCATTCTCCTTACCACAATTGTGTAGGGAACCTAGACACCACATCAGATTGCTATATTTGTGTAACTAAAGTAAGAAAAATCTCAACTAATTCAAAACACACAGTTTCTTATCCAAATTTGGAACTGCAATGTGGCAAGTTACGCATTCTGTTGCTGTTCCAGTTCCAAAACAATCAACGGAATGGACCGTCGAAAGATGAAACAGACGGTGGTAGTAACAAACCAGTTGATTATGAAGATTGTGAGTACACGCCATCTGCAGCTCTGCTACAACCACAGCCATTGTCGTAGGCAGAATTGAACGATCTTGTAAGAGATCTAAATCTTCAGAGACGAGCATAGTTACTTGGGTCTCGTGTTGAAGAAAATAACCTGTTACAACTAAATACTATATATTGTATTGACATATTGTAATGTATTGTAATGGTATATACATAAACGGCCTGCTTACAAAATTTGGGATAATTGACAATCCGGAAGAATGGCGCCTATTTTCTTCTAGGAATGCAGTCTGGGCAACTCGTTTCGAAAAAGTGGATAAATCCAGTTGCTAAATTAAGAAAAAAATCCTCTAACACGTGTTGCTACCAGAATCCCTGTTTTGTGGGTCCTTGATGCCGAAAATAGATTGGCGACGAAACGTCTGTCCGTCTGTGAACGTTGGCGGCTAAACCTTTAAGCCAATTTTCTCCAAAATTGATATTCAACTATAGATCTGACTGATGTTGCAGACCCTTGAATTTCAAATCGTTATTTTAATTTTGGGGAGTACTTTACATGAAGCCCCTGAAACATTTTGAAAATTGAAAAAAAACGCGCCATCGATTTTGATTAAATTTTGTTGTTGTATTACCTGAAGGTCACTTCTCATAAGAAAATGGCGCGGGCCTCATGTTAGTTGAAAACTCAGAATTTTCGAAAATTGAAAATATTCAATTTTTTCTGCTTCTTCCTACAACTACAATTATGAAGATACATTTTTCTTGATGAAATATGTTTATCAAAATCAGATTTCTAATAGAATCATGTTGAACTTTTAGAAAATGTGAGTTTTTTTATAAATTAGGCGTCAAAGTTAGTCGCCCGCTCCGAAAATCCTCCGCTTCTTGATCGTAATTTTAGACGTTTTTGCGGCAGTTGGATGCTATGTAAGTTATAATGTGTATATTATTTCATATTTCTTTGTTCTTTCTTACATCGGAATTTTTGGTATACGTTTATAAATTAATATTTAAGAAGATTTTTAAAACCAATTTAAAATGAATATGAAATAAAGATAGTTAGCCTTCAGTCGTCTGCTCCCAATTTACGCAGTTGGATGCTATGTTAGAATTTGTATTAAATATTTCTTTTTTTGTTTCGTTGAGTATTGGCTTCTCTATAACACGAACGTGCAGTTATACCCACCAAGACCAGTCATATTTTTTCTGGGGGTATGCACGTGAAACATGATTAGGAGGGATCAGAGATTTTTTACGCCCTAGTGTTGTTAGCTCTGAGGACATATTTCATTTTATTATTGTTAGTTTTTAAATTATATTTATATTCCACATTAAATTACGTCCAATCGGTTGGCTACATTGTTGGTTGTTGTAATCCATCGTTGAAGCGCCGCACTGATAAGAGAAGGCGAAAATGACGGCTGCCTTTCGTTCACGGAAATATAAACTAGTACTTTTATATACTATTTGTTGAATATTACAAAACCATTGTTCTTAATAATTACTATTATATTTTTCGATCTATTTGCATTTGTTTGTCAACGCTAAAAATCGTTACATTTATTAACTTACAATTATTTTTCTTTCTTGCATACTGCTAACGAAGAATATTGTAAGGCTAAAGACCCATCCGATGTGTGCGTGAATATACTGCATACTATATACAATGAATTCAATGACAGAAATATATTTTCATTTAAAGGTTTGAATAAAAATCTACTGCTTGAAGCTATTTAATTTTCGCATCAAATGTTCTACAATTTCAAATGATTTTTACAAAAATTATGACTGAAATGTGTCAATTCGGAGAGAAATTTTGGTTTAAGTAACATTACGACCCATTACTAACGGCGAGAAAGTACGTTCTGATATAGCCCGACTAGTCTTTTTTAATGGAAGAAAATGTAGTCTACTGAATAAAATAAAATCAGCACAATTTTAATGCGTTAATTTAGTTCTCCAGAGAGTACACACATATATTTTGTATCTCATTTTGTGTCTCGTCTATTTGTATCTCATTTTGTATACGAAGTCATTAATATTTGTGTTATTGGTTTATGTTTACAAATTATTTGCTTTGGGAGTACAAGTGCTGAAAATGATTCCTTATAGTGATGATGAAAATGATTAAATAGGTCTATTTTTGTTGCATCCCTCCATTGTTAATATTTGCAAGGAAAGGGTTGGTTTTAGGGTTCAAATTGTGAAGCGTCAAAGAACAACTTCAAAGCAGCTGTGTTTTAAAACATTTTGCATGTTTATTTGACTACACAATACATTTTATTTACTTAAAAGACATAAAATTAAAATTAAATTATTATGTGTATAAAAATATTATGTCGGTTATCACAATGTCTTAATTATTAAAACATAGATAACCAGGAATCTTCTTTTTTTACCAATATCTAGAGAGAATGTACCTCACTCGTAATGCTGTCAGCTTCTAGTCGATACCCAGGGCTGCCAGGTATGTAAAAAACGAACTTGTAAAGCTGCATGTTGGTTCATATTCAAATGAACAAAAATGCAGTAAAGAAGTTCAAACTATCGTGTGTTTTTTTTTATTTTTATAATAGTCTTAATTTCTATCGGAACATACTATCAACTATACATTAAATAATGACGTTCCATTCTTGAATTTCGCATGTAACATTGCATGTGCACTCGTAACAGTCCGTCTTGCAGAGGGCGGAGGGCGACTGAGTGCGGTGGCAGCGCTGGGGCAGGGGTGGGGGCGAGNNCGGGCGGGGGCGGGGGCGGCGGGTTGCCGCGGGCGAAGGCCACCTGCTCGGCGACGGCACGCTGGATGGCCGGGTGCACGGAGTCGCCGATGGGCTGGAAGCCGTTCTCGTCCGCGATGTAGTTGACGACGACGGGCACGCCGTCGGGCCCCACGTACGAGAACGACCCCGTCACCGACATGGCCTCGACGGGCGTGCCCGGGTTGTTCACCACGCCGCTCTCCTGGCGAGTGTTGCCGTCGGCGCCCTCGTACCTGCAGCACAAGCGAACACATCAGCGGCCCCGTTCATTGATTAGTCAATTGCTAGCATCATTGGTCCCGTAAGTGTAGTGCATTAATCGCGGGAGGTGGCGGTGATCTTGTCCCGACCTACCGCCGGCTTCCGGGAATTGTCCCAACCAATTGTCCACCTGCGTGGTACCGCACCAGAGGGGTTAAGCTCTAAGCCCCCGACACCTGTTGTAGTGTAGTGTATGTGAATGTAAGGGAGTGTAAGTAAGGGCTGAGGAAATGAAATGAAAGGAAGGAAAGATCGCGATCGATCCGTGGTTAGGGAACTGCTTCTGCATTCGCCTGGTACTAATCGGAGAAACCACGGATAACAACCGATCAGAGCCACCGACCGCTGGAATTATCCTCCACACAGCGGCTGCATTCGATCTAGCTATCTAGGTGGAGTCAAAAACTCTGTCAACCTAGGACCAACCGGTCAGAATCACTTCAGTGTCGACAGTTGGACCACCTTTGCCAGTACAGCGGTCCACGAACTTTACGAAAGGGCGGAGATGGCGTGATGAAAGCGGATCGCTTTTTAAGGCCCGCGATTCAAAAAACGAACGTCAGTCACTTAATATCTGCTCTTTGACTCTATTTGTAAGTATTTTATGCATGTATTTTGTCAAAATTAGGCACGTAAAAAGTCATTTATTCTGACTAAAATACGGAGTTGCAAAATGCATTTGAGAATTGACAAATTAACGTTTAAAAAAGATACAGTATGTAGTCGAAATAATTTTCAGTATTTCAATATTGAAGAAGTAATTTGTATCTTTAACAAAACAGCAATAGCATTACTGGAAAATACAATTCGAATTTTAAACCTATAAATATTTATTTGATTACGAGTGTACGCTTTGTTTGGTCTTTCCTCACAATGAGATATTCGTTTTAAAATATTTAATTATTATACATTGAAAACCTACCAAATAAACTGAAATTTAATATTATAGAGAAAGCAGAATTTGTTTTGTTGTGCATTGTTAACTGTAACTATATTATTAAAATGGATGAATATCTATACGTGCTGCAGAAACGTCTCAATCGATAATATAATTTTGAATTGAAATTTACTCTATTGATATATCTTAACTTTCTATAGTTACTGTCATATCCAAATTTCAACAGTAATGTTATTTTACTTAAATTGGTGCAAACAATCCGCAACGCATTTAGGCACTGCGGAACAGTGGTCGGATTGGGCCACGCGAGGGCGATGCCAGTGGGACTAAAACAACCGAAAAATACGTGTGAAGTTTGGGTCTTTAAGAAGGAATACTTATGTTACCGAGGGGAAGTGGGCGTAGACAACCGTATTTTGGTGTAAAATACGTTGGAAATTTCTTGTAATTTGTCCATCGCGGAGATGTGTAGTGATAATCGCGGAGTCCGAAGCCTGGGCGACGACTTAAAGATGCGCAAGGAATATAAATCAAATTGGCCCTATCACGTTCATGATTGTTGTCTGACCTGACTACCTCAATGCTAGTAAATATTGGAAATACCTATTTTATCATTCTCTTCTATCAAATGTATTCTCATTCTTTTCCTAATTAGGTTGAATTGAGGTATTTTATTTCCCCAATTGAATATTTTCTTCATTCTAAAATTGTTTCCAATTATTCCATCTCATTTGTCTTACTTTTCTTTCTTGGTGGAGGTTCCTGTTTTGAGATTCGTTCACGTTTACCTGTTGCTATTCGTTCCTGCGCGCGCACATTCCGTGTAGCGAGCTGCTTTCGTGACAATCCGCGCGAATTCCCACCCAGTGACGCATCTCCTAGCCACGAGGCAGACGCCCATCCTCAAATGCCGCAGAGGACGAACAAGGCAAGCGGATCCTCTTGTCTTCTCCCCTCCCCGCCCTGCCGCTCCCTTGAATTTAAATTCGGAGAAGCCTTCTGACCCGGGAGGTTAAAACTTGTTCTTTCCTCTACAGAAGTGTATTTCTTCCTCAAAAACCGCCGTGCTTGTTAACCTTACCAAGGTGCCATGTTCTTGGAACGACATTCGTAAGAAAAAAGGAAAATTCACTTTTTAAAATAACTAGTACCTGTACGTGGTGTACTTTTAGTTGCGTTCTTTTTTCCCAATTGAAAACTTAAAACTGCGACGAGAGGTATGGCTATGTTTAACTTATATCAGTTGAACTATGCAAATGGCCATTTTTGTCTCGACGAAATGCAAATAGTTAACCACAGGCGGAACCAAACCTGAATAATCTTCCTGGGTCAACATGTTTCTACACTTTGTGAAGACACAGGTGTTAAAAACTGGGCCTGCGAGTTTGACGATATGCGAGTTCAAAACGAGTTATGAGCTTCATGATAAAGGGAAACGGAAGATTATAAAATCATTAATCGTTTGCCTTTGATTTGCCATTTCTTTGGGAAAGAAAATCTTTCGCTATCAAATTGTTTGCGTTTAATAGGATTCCACATTTTAAGTATTTTTTTACATATCAGTGCGATAGAATTAAATTCCATAGCGTTGTGCATTTAAGTTTTTCCAAGTAGCAATTTGGTATCGTGACAGTAATATACACATTTTAAGTAAAGTCATTGTCCGTTGAGTGTATAAATCGTACAGTATCTTCGAGACTAAATTTAAACACCCTCTTTTGTTGTTTGTCGTAAAAGAACATTGTGCATTATTTCCCTTTTTGTTGAATCGGATTTTTCATGACTTTTATTCACTAATCCAAATGTACAGGAACAATCCCTATTTACTGGCATACACCTGCTACCATGCGTGTCGATTAATGTTAAGCAATAGGCAAAGCGACTTTTCTAGTGACTTCATAGTGTGAACACTAGATGAAATATATTCTGAAATAGGTTCCCAATCCTCAGCGCCAGCGCCCCCCCCTTCCCCCGGAGCGGCCGCAAGGAGGCGTGCGCAGAGGGCGGCTGCGCTCTTTGACTCTGGTGGGAACTCGTGGCGGCGAGAGCCAAGTCAGCTGCTTCAAATGCTGAAGGCGGTATCTTAAGTGCGATCCGAACTCTTCATGAAACAATCAGCTTCCACTGAATGTCAACTGGTGCGTTACACGTTCTCGGTCAAGGCAGCCGCCGTTAATGTCCTCTTTCGGTGAACAAGAGGTTTCGATTTTACTTGCCCCCCCCCTCCTCCACCCTGCTCGCTTCGTCGATAAAAACTTTGCAAACAAATGTCAATATGAATTACAGTAATCTTCGTATTATCACTATGTAAAGTGTATTGTCCAATACTTTTGGCTTTTAAAACAGTAATGCCTTTCAATATTTTTCTAAAAGGGTTTTCGAAAGAACCTTTTGCACAATATTGCATTTGTTTTTACTTCGTAAATATTTTTTGTTTTTCTACTATTCAATGAAAAATTAAGCTTTTCCTTCTATGCTGTAGTAGGGATGATGTACTACAATCTAGTAGATAGTCATGAAAAAATTGTGTCCTAACTTCGGCGTAAAAGCAATATTCAAGGTACAAAGAGACGTTTGAAACTTTCAATCAAATTTGAATGAAATCTATGCAATGATCGGGTCGTATCCATTTTCGAACATTCTTATGCGCAATTTAAAACGTGTAATCAGTTACTAGCATTTCACGAAATGCAAACGGTGGGGGGGTATGCAAGTCAAAGAGGGCATCCGCGTTGGGAAAGCGCCCTGCGATCTGGCGCTGAGGCAACGAAAGGGTTCCCGAGCAGCGGGTCCATCCCACCGCATCCCACCGCATCCCGGTGGGCGGCCGCGCTGATTTATAGAGGCGCTCGGCCGCGGCAACAGCAGGCTCTTAGGTGTCTGGCCGAAGCGCCGGCCTATCACGACCCGGGGATTACGGCTTCGTTAGAGCCCTGCGCCCGCGCCTTGCGCAACCGCCCCGCCCGCCGCGGCCACGGGGCTGAAGGTGAAGGCGCTTGCCTCCTGCCGAATGCGGAGGCGGAGGCGGACGCGGTCACGGAGGCAGAGGGAAAAGCGGCGACGGCCACGCAGATAACGACGACATTAAGTGAATGGAAGCGATAACAATGATGAGGGCGGCTATTGGTTGCTGGGAAGATGGCAGATACCGCAATGTGACACCGTTCGATTTCTCGGTCTCCTGGCATTTCGAAGCCTCAAAATGATGAGTGATTTCTATTGTTTTCATCAACTGTGATCTAAATGTGTATTCGACTGAAATTTACTCTTCTTCGTCTTTGACATGTACAGAATGCTCCGGTCACTCAACGTTGTGGTTATCCCGCTAGGAGCCGACATTTATTATTCGTGCTGCAATCCAAACACATAGAGGCAATTCTTTAAAAAAACGACTTATTAAAGATTGAAAAACATTTCCCTGGCATACTCTACACATTCATCTTTTCTCTTGGTGACTTCTTATATCAATTGTTTACTCTCCCGTCATGCGTGATAAATATTATTTTATTTTGTTTATTGAGTTATAATTTGATGTGTATGACTGAGTTCCAATGTTAAGGTTATAATCTGTCCTTTCAGGAGTGAGAACATTTAGATCGATCTGCACTCAGTAGGAGGATAGTAGTTTTTTCCATCTGATGTACGGACATTGTACTTGTTTTGTTTTGTAAATGTACTATCGGTTCTATTACAAAGAGTGGAGAGCGGTATTTATTTCAATCTTATAATTGGACTGACAATTATGTAGTGACTTTTATAGCATTACTGAACGTAAAGAGGAGAGAATTGTAGCCCCATTATCGAAAGTATTGCGAATTTACTGAAGGACAAGAAATCTAATTGGTGCCTCAAACAAACATAAATAAACAGAAAATTATTATTACATTTTTATTATGATATCAGTGCCTAAACCTTATGGATATACCTCAAATAGTTAAATGGTTTAATTGTGTCATACGCCGCATCGCCGCGTTCCCATACCCGTGGAAGAGGGAAAGTCGAAACCGAACCCCAGAATAAATGTCAATTATATATGAAAATTAATACCACACGCGTTTAGCAATATGAAATAACCATTTTCTGCAGTTTGGGGTTAAAATATTTTAGTGTTCGAAGTATGTATGTATATCCTTTGAATAGTTTTTGTATTTGCGCTAAAACATAGGTGGCCACGCCTTCTTGGAAAACTATTTTAACGTTCACTACTTTGCTGCGATTGCACTACTGTTCTTTACATGGACATACACAGACATAAGGTCACAATATACACGTGGACAGACCTAGCTGTAAGAGAACGCAATTAAGCATGGTGACAGTTGCATATTGTTCTGTTACATACGATAGGCATTCAATAACAAAACTATCACTAAAGAGTTAAGATAGATTCTAATAATAAACGCCCCAAACAATAAAACAGTAAGTCAATACTTGAGGAAAGGTAATGGACAAAAAGAACTGCGAGTATTCGTGTTGCCCTCCTCCATTGGTATGGGGCTGTTTATGGGTAGATAATTATAGAGACTCGAAATGAATACTTTCGGACCAGTGGCGTGGCGGGGGGCGGGACAAAGGGGAGACCTCGCACTGCCGTCTACCAGGCAAACGTCAGTCTCCCGGTGGGGGCTGGGTTCGATCCCAGGGCGCACCGCTCCCGGGGGCGCGTGCCCTCAATAACGTCCGCTCCCCACCCCTTCGACAGATAGCGTCGGCTCGAAATGTGACATTTGCGATAGGTGTAGGAGACCTCCCAAGAAAAAAACATTGAAAAATTACTATCACAGGCACGCCAATTTCTCAACAACTACAATGCCTACCTCGCATTCGGATACCTAATGTTTTCTGAACAGCGTAGTATTCGTAGATGACTGCGCACGCACATTGCCTTATTTCTCGTGTCTCACTCACGCTTAACGGTTGCCGGGAGTACAGATACTTCGCGCGGACTCTATAACAAGGCGGTGGGAAATATGAATACCAGAATAATACGAAGCGGGTACGGGAGTGTAATGGTTAGCGTATCGGTCAGTTATACAAAAGTTTGCGGGTTCAAGCCCCATCGAAGCCATCGTTCGTGCGTGGGTCGCTTGGATATGGGCGCGGCGCCACCTGGTGGCAATGCTCGAGAACGAAGCGCAACAGACTGGCGGGAGCTGCGGAAATCTCAAAATTTGGCGCTGTGCGAGCCTACACGAAAGAGAACTTTGTTAACGTTTCAAATCATAGTAAAAGAAATTTTATTTCGTCTTATGACAATTATTTGCATCTATAAGACAATACTTTCAGTAATTTCCAAAAGAAACAACACATTCTTAAACTATTCCTTAATAAAGTATTGTTTTGAAAGCATTTTCAGTTTAAGGCTCTTTCACAATTCCTTTTCAAATTTAATGAAACAACTTTTCCCACATTTAATTCTGTTCTCAGTTATAGCTATTTTGTTATCGTTATATCCAATTTCACTAAAATAAGTTTTAAAAAGATGCAAGTTTTAAATTTGTCCCAATTATGACGTAACTGCATTGTGTTTTTAGAGAACCCGTATCCACGATCATACGAAAATACTTGTACTCCCACCACATTTGATTGGCGTACTTACAAGGATGGTATACGACGCTTTGTTAAAACACTAGTGCGTTAGTTTATATTATATCACATACAATCGCAATGGATGTTCTGTAACTTCGTTATAACACATTTTAAAGGCCCCGAAAAAGGCGATATTTGAAACATATGAGTATAACATTACTATCTTAATAAAGATCATGCAAAATAATCATATAAATAGCAACTGGACGATTTGTCCTATAACACTTTATATAACCGTAGAAACAAAATGTTGATATCTCGTGAGTGAAATGATTTTTTCTTGCTCGATTTTCAAAGTTTTCTTTTAGTCTCGATCTGAAGAAGAAACCTTTCGCGCACACATCTAAAAAGACGTGATGGAGCACTCACCCGAAGGTGTAGGAGCCGTCGACGCCGTTGAGGTCGAAGTTCTGCTGCACGATGGGCACGAATGGCGGGGGCGGGCCGGCGGGGCCGAGCGGGCGCGGGGCGAAAGGCGCAGGCGGGCGCCGGCTGGCGCGGCGGGGAACGGGCCGGCCCTGCGGCGCCGCGGCGCCCAGCGCCCACAGCAGCGCGCCGCACGTCACGCAGGCCAGCAGCTGCGGCACAGCGAGCGCTCAAATCAATGCACATCAGACACTCCCGAGCCATCTGGCCACACTTACATTGTATCATCGAAGTTATTTCGTTCTCTGTGTACCAAGTTTTTTATTTATTTGTAGTAAGATGTTAAATGCAAAAGTAAGTCCAGCGGAAAATGGGCTCCAGTGGGAGACAGAAGGGCCCAGAAATGTTGTTGCCCCCTCCTTGTTTTAGGCTGCGCACACGTATGGTCTCATGCTCATTGGTAGTATTTTATTATTTTCTAATTTGTTTTTAATTTCCAGATTTTGATGTTCCTTCGTAACTAACAGAAATATCTTCTTAGAAAAAATGACTTTTTTTGACATTTAGGCTTGCTACAACTTCCACACATATTCTTCCTTAATCCTGTTTGTATTATGTTATCGTAATGTGATTTGAGGTTCCGTAAACACCAGCATGCAAGCACACGATTAACAGAAGGAAAATAAGAATTAAACACATCTTTAGACATAAAATTAGTGAGCTAACATTTTCGAAGGAACTATTGAAGTCAAAATTGTAGGCAGGCTCAGATTGGTCTTGTTCAGACGATTGAAGAAGGGGATGGACGGTCAGAGAAAACTTTTTTGAAAGAAAGAGATTGGTTCAAAATCAGAACCGTTCATGAACTGCTGCCAACCTATCTCACTGGCAAACACATACATATATTATTTTGCAGTGATATTTTTGAGTGGTTTAATGTTCTAGAAACGCGCCGACTCCCGAGAAGCCGCCTGTCACAGAGAGGCTCTGGGCGACGCGCCCCCATCGCCCGGCCGAGGCGCCAAAGGACAGTGTTTCGCGGAAAATCCGCTCGTAGCTCTGCACGCGATTCTTCGTCTTAGAATTCAAGGGGAATTACAGGCTGTAAAAGTGAGCATTTCTCGCAAAGATAGTCGGACTTCCTGTGAATGTTTTTAGGACGCTATATTACTGGGTAGTAAATGAAAGAGAATCTTCGTGTAAAAACTCCATCACGCACATTTGAACACCCTTAATTCTGCCACATCTGATTTTTTCAACGTATTTTTATTTCATCATCATATTCATTTTCGATAAAATTCTGTAAACAGTTCAGGCGCTAGTATTATTTACACACACGATAATCTATAAATAATTTCTAGCATCAATACATCACTTTCTCTACATTTTAACAATTGTAGATTTGACTGCGAGTTTAATTTGTACTCTATTAAGTTCGGTCTTTGTTGTATTCATGATACTCTTATATACTTATATTTTTGTATAATATTACAGTAATTTAATACAAGCGATCAAGTCAGTTTTATTTGCTGATTATTTTTGTTGAATTATTCACCTATCTTCAACATTTCGAGAACTTAAATGTGATCTTCTCCTCAGTAGGATAATGAAAATGGCCTTAGTTCATTGTCAAGTTTTTAAAACTTTGTTTCTCCTCCCTTCCACCTTTCCCCCTTCTTCTCTCGCTCGCCACTCTCCTGACTCCTCCAGCCTCGACCTGCCTTGTCACGCACGGGCCGCACTGCTCATCTCAGTTCTCCCTCGTAACGACTTCCGGAGTATAAGTGCTACATACAAGTCTCCACTTATGGAGAAACATTTAGCAAGTTATTTGTTTAGATGATCACGGAAAGCAAGTTTGCTTGTACTGTTGTACCTTGTACAATTAAATCCCTGTTTTTTTTACTTATTTTATAACTCTTAATTTTAGAAAAATAATAATTTTCAGTCTATATGTAATATCACTTGTAATTTTTAAATAAAAATATTTTTTTGTAAATTCTGTAGCCATAATCTTTAAAAAACGTGATCATGAATTAAGACCATGCTCCTAAGCAGAGAACCAAATCCAAGCATTCAAAATTAGAACATATGTGAATATAACAAATATTTAACGTTAACCTGCCTTGAAAGTTAAATTATGTAACATTCTACAAAAACCTCCCTCTGACTGTCAGTAATAAAACCTGGACTAAATTTAACATAACATTCTTTCTCCATCCTACTTATACTAAAGTGAAAATCAGATTTCTTATTTTTTTTAATTTAGTTTTTTTCCTGCTGTTTTGAAGATATTTGAAAGCAGAAATAAAATGAAACAGAGTGAAGCCAGTCCACTTATTAAAGATCGTCGTCTTTGGTGTGTGCAGCCCGCTTGAATTCGCTAGTCTCTTGGCCACAGACAGGTGGTCAAAGAGGCGGCAGGGCAAATTCGAATCCTAAACAAATCTCGAATGCATAGATTCTATCGACCACGAATATTGCGAGTTCTTAATACATCAAGTTAAAAAGAGGTTGCAGTTGGCAACACTATAGAAAAAGCAAAAATTCAATAAGCTGCTACCAAACTGTGATTTCATAGCATTTAAATCACTGGTATAGTTCAGCTCACCGCTGAATTGAATATTTTCTTCCGCATTGAGACGCAAAGCGTAAACAACAGTCGACGTATTTGCATCAACTAACTCGACTCCTCTTGGTATTGTCGACACGCAGCGCCCGTGGCGCAACATCTCGTAGACAAACTTCGCACGAAGTTTACGGAGAAATGGCAAACCAATTTACTGTCACAACTCACTTCTCTTGTGTAGTGCGTTATCCATCACCTCACTTGAATATGGAATTCGCGCACACAAAGAAAGGTATTCCACACTGCTGATAGCTACAGAAGCGGTCAGTGTTATCTGGAGAGTTTAAGCCCAACATCCTTCCATATAATATTCTGCGTGAGCGTGTTTCGGCCGGCGGCGACCACTTCAAAGCAGCTCAAAGCTCAATGTCCTGGGGTACGCGACCTGTGAGCGACTAACTTCGTCTTCTTCCCGGTCCCTGTTTACATTTCGGCGTGTGAGGCCGGGGGACTACACTGGGTAGGAGGCTCCGTAAATGGAACTCTGTACAAAGGATAATTAGAGAATGTGGTAATTACTTCCAAAATGGGCTTCACGGATGGCTAATGTTCCAGGAAGCTATTCTCATAAAGACAATAATGTATTTCGTTTGTAAAATTATTTCGAAATTTAAAAGGGATGAAATTCAAAAACTGAACGACTGTTACGTGGGTAATACTACCAAGTGGTGCTCCAACAGCATGTACACTCTCGTATTGTTTTAAATATTTATATTGTAAAATATTGCAACTTGTGCCATACGAATACTTAAGATATCTTTGAAAGACTTAACTAAATCACAAGTTGTAGATTCTGTTTTCGGTAAAGTGCATCTGCACCATCCTTGTAAAAAGTTTTCAGAGTAAATGTTTGCCTCGGATAATATTATTGAATTTGATTGCTTTCAATTCTGAAGCCAATTGCTTTCTTGGTGCCGTAAGGCGATGAAGTAGCTTCAAAGAATCCTTAAATTTACTCCTTAATTTTATTTTATTTAATCCTTAAATCCTAACTCCTTCCATGCAAATCTGTCATACAACTCAAAATTTCGCAAAAATAATCTTTTGAAAAGACAGTAATATAGATTAGGTCAATATTAAATATTTAAATAATCTAACTTGCAATGCGCCCAGAAATTGAAAGAAAACTATGCAACCTCCAGCCATGTGAGTGATATCTATGTTTTCGTTAGAAACTCTGGAGAAATAAAAATAGAAAAGACAAACAGTTTTGATTTTGACACAAAAATGCAAATATTTGGTTGCGATATGCCAGCAATTCTCGTAATGCTCGTACCGCCTGACTCCATGCTCGCTGCATCACCGCTTACTACACAGCTACCGTCGTGTGTCAGCTGAACTCCAAAGAGGAATCCGCGGGTCGGGGTCATTTGCTGCTCTCGAGGAGTTGCATTATGAATCAGAGTCATTTTCGTATTATCCTTTGTTCTGTTTCTACAATGTATTATGTTATTTCAGTATTTGTGAAGACCATTTTCGTTAAATTATTTAATTTACGGCAGTGTTTTGTTGTTCTTAACTAGTGCGCGTGCAACTCGTCGGAAAATCATTTTATGTAGTTTTGCTCAGCAGCATTTTTGTTTTTGCAAGTCACTAGTATGATTTAAAGATCTAAATTAGATTCATTTGTCTCGTGACTTGACGTCTGTGCTCCCTAGAGCTCGACCTATAGCACGAATCAGCACGGACTGGTCAAAATATTGCTCTCACTCGGAACGCCACGGAAAGATTATCAGGGCTGACTAGAGTTGCTTCCCAATAAACTCAGTTCTTACGGTTTCGCTGTTCCTTACTGAGCCGTGTGTTTTTATTTGCTATTTTAGACGATGTTAAGAAACTATAAAAATACTGTAAATAAGACGGAATAGTGGAAATCGCCGTACATGCCATGATAATAAACACAACTGAGAATCGAAGCAATGATTCCAATTATTTAGAAGAATATGACAACTAAGTAAATAACAACCTAAAATAAATCTTTTTAAGAAGCAATTTTCTTATTCACTACTTCTTTTCACTTGTGATTGTTATTCATTTCTTGATTATTAGTTCTAATTTATCGTTTGTAATGTCCTGTAGTATTAATAGCGAAAGAGGTGGGTATAGTATTAATAACATTACAGTTGGCGACGCGTCTGATGTGACGTATGTGGTAGAATCATCACCCCGCGCAGCGAGACGGAAAGAAAAGTCGTGCCACTAGAAGGAAGATAGGCAGAACGCAAAAGATTACATGCGGTCTTCAAGGCCTATACAAATCTATCAGCGGAACGCTATCAGGGAAAGTTTTGAAATGCAACGTTATTGAAGTAGAACACAAGACCGAAAGAAATGCAGGAAAAACAGAACTGTTAAGAAAATTTCAGAGAACCATTATTGTCGGGAGCAATTTCCTTCCGAGGTGCTTGTGAATCTTCCCAGGAGAATCACGAGTGTAGGTAGTCAGTGCAGTAGAGGGCAGCGACGTGTTATTGCACTGTGTATTTCATTATTTTAAATACTTTTTTAAAAAATTTAAATGAGATTTTTAAATTTTTAATTCGAGTAAAATTTCCTTTAATACAATACTTTTTTGATATGCAATCAATAAAGTTCAATAGCAACAAACAAGTTTACAACAAACTTTGGCATTTATTTTTATACGTATAAGTACAACTTTTCGGGTATTTTTTAAATATTTATTCAAGTTATGATACTTGGTTTTCATTTCATTTCAATTATAATATAATTTTAATGTTCCTTCAGTATTCAATTGCAATATTCAATTTTTTCGTTAAATTAGTCCGTGAGAATATTTGTATGTTTATAGTAAACGATGGATTTTACAAGTATTTATTGTTAAAATGTGTGCGGAAATTGGGATGATATTTAGCAAGGTGTTAACCAAAGACCAGCGTGTTCATTTTTTATTATCTTTATAATGAACGAAAGTAACTTTATTTTTGACATTTTGATTTAACGAAGTTTCCCTTCAAATATTAGACAATTTCGAATTTTTCGGTGGTTTCTTGAATATACTTCTCTTACAGGTGTGCTAAAACTGAAAGCTACAAAATTAGCTAGATTTATTGCTGTAAAGAAGAACATAAATTCCAATATAATTTCTACTGAGTATCTAATATGACTTGATAATCATGAATGTTAGTAATGAACGTTTCTATCTCAGGGCGATTGTTCAGCTACAAAATAAACACTGCCACTATTATGGCACGTCGCTGTTGGAGGTTCTTTATTGTCTTATGGTGGGTAAGGTAATTTCGAAAACGTCAGAATACCATGACATTCAGCAAAGTTCTCGTCCACTTCACCATTTTATTCATTTACCGCCTGTCACCTTTTCCCAAGTTACCCCACTAAAATTCGGAGCAATAAAACATTCATTTCTCAAGGACTGCGCTTGCAACTGTATCCCCTTTTTCAACACCAGAAAGAGCTTTCGCAGTAGCCTTCGGAGACACGTTCATCTGACGAATCCCCATTCAAGAAACTGCACTTTAATACTTCCGGTCGCCATAACAATGAAAAGCCATCCCGCGTTCGAATGTCTGCTTCGCGTTGATGCAATCAGCCTCTTATGTGTGTGGCACTTCATATGCATACACAGTCATTCTCATTCAGAAAATCCGTATGGCATAAGTACCCATTGTTTCGAAGGTCTTTTAATTTGTAGCTGAACGAAAGATAAAGCTTTTGTACCTAAAGATCCATCCACCACGCCCATGGCCCTTATGAAAAACAATAGGAATTAAAAACAAAGCGGAATCGACTTAAATTTGTGGCGGCAGAACTGACCAGCTCCACGTATATTTGCAAATCATATTAATGTATGGCAACTTTTTCAACACGCTAGTTAAGTTATAGAGAATATCAATAATGTGTGATTGAATATTTGTTTGTTTATTCCTGATTCTCATATTTGAAGATTTGTTGTCTCTGAAAAATGCCTTCCTTATTGGTGACGTCCTTCCCGATTTCGACCTGTTTGCCTTAATGAGAAATTACTTGAGGTTTTAAGAGGAGAAATGATTCAACAAACATCGTAAAGTATATTTTATCCAATGTCAGTTGTTTTCGCATACGAAATCGGCCCAAAACGATTAATTCTTTTCGTTTTCCTTCTGTGGTGTTGACTTTATTCCGTCCGTTCCAAAATTGAACATTTAATTTATCCATCGACTGCCTCGAACGCCGAAATGACACCCACAGCAACTCTTGAGGAGGCAATGTCAGCCGATCCAGAAACAGACATGCCCAAGAACAACTCAGTAAAGAAAGCGGATCAAAAAAAGTTTTTTGAAAAGCAAACCTGCCCATGGGCAGTGACCCTTCCCCCCTGAGCACATTCCGTTGTTAACATGCTCAGGAATTAGAGTAAAGACGTTAAAAAAAATTAAAGTTTCAAAAAATTAAAATATAGCAAAAATAAAAAATTAAAGTATAGCAAAAATAAAAAAATTAAAATAGTAAAAATAAAAAAAATTACGCAAACACATTTTTTTAAAATATGAAACGCTAGATTCTTGTAAGTGTTTTTTCCATCGAGGAAAAGACAGCCCCATGACGGTCTTCACCTCGTTCCCCGACACTCACCGTCTTCATGGCGACGGGTGGAGCAGGAGGAGAGCTGCCGAGGAGATGTTGCGCTGCCCCTGGGGGATCGGAGGCTGAGGCTGGAGGCTGAGAGGCTGGGAAGCGACTGTGCCTTGCCGGGACCTGCGACCGGATATTTATACCCGAAAACGGGGCAGAACAGCGCCTGGGAGGCCTTCGGGGGGGAAATGGCAAACTTTTAGCCGCAACACGTGTGCCCCCCACTCCGGAGCTCTGCTGCCCGCCGGCGCCCCGCCCGCCCGCCGCTCGCTCCCAACCGCTCCCCACCACCCCCACCACCCCCGGATGGCACACTCGAAGACACTGGCACGCGGGAAGGGGCCCGCGCACATACGCATTCTCGCAGACGCAGGACCTCGGCCAGGCCAGCCCTTATTCTGCCTCCACGACCACCCGGCCTCTTCGGCCATCGACGCGGGAAGCCCTGAATTTCGGATGTGCACACGCGGACCATTCAGTTCGCACACCCTTAAAGCGTTGGCTTCAGAATACAAAGGGACGTGCGATAGAGAGAAGGCAAATAGCTGCGTACAGCCTCCGTGGAGCTTCATTAGCATTCGCGAGAAAGGGATCACGACGAAAAGGTTTTTGAAAATATCGCTCTTAATTAGAGAGGCGCGCGTTGCGGCGTGCCGCGTGCGCCGTGCGCCGTGCGCCGCTTCCTCGTGCGATGCCGCCGCCGCCACTTCTACAGCCTTCGCCCCTCGAGTCGGCCCCTACAGTGGCATCGTGCGCGATGGCTTGTCTCCGACTGCAGGAGTCGAGAGAAGTTAGTGTTAACCTTCCTTCAGCGCATCCAAACCCAAAAATGTCTCCCAAAAACAAACATGACGATTGGAATTCGGTACAAGCGTATTCATAGAACTGTAGTATGTGTCTAGAAAGCACCCAGAAGTGTAAACAGAAAATAAGACGCGTCTCGTTGTACTCAACCTTTGTGTCTTCTCTGGCTGACAAAAATATAGACTTGTTGTTTAGAATTATGTTCCTCCGACTACTTTAACTGTAACTCATGTGCTTAGAAATAGTTTTATTTGACAACAAATTGTTATTTTCCACATTCATATCACGTTAAGATCGAGAGCCATAGTCAGGCAGAGTCAAAATTAATTCACTAAAAGTATAGAAGTAAAAATGCCAAATTATTAACCCTATTCTTATTTGATTAAGTCATTAATATACTAACATGAATGTACTAAAGAAGAGATTGACGAAATTTTTGCGTGAAGATAGGAACCGACGTGTCATGAAGATCATTGCTTTTGCAATCGGCGTCGGCCGAGGATCCTGTCAGCACAAAATTATGAAAATAAGGAGGGGACGGAAATAAGTGCGGAAGTTTTCAAACCAGACTTGTCGAATGAGATAAAACGAAAACGTATCAGTAAATGGTAAAAAGAGATATTTGGCTCTTATTTAAATCTAGGGCAAAGATATGTCAGAAGACAATTATAAACCCGAAAATAGGTTATCGGACCCCCCCCCATTAAAATGATGTAAATAAACATGAGTCAAAGATTTCAAGAACTCTCTCCCGATATCAATGTTACAAACACTACACGGAATGGGATAGACATGCCTGAAAACACGTTTCAGGTTAGAGGACTTAGTGCTCTTGGTACAAGTGCTCGAATTATGATTACGTTAGGTTATGTTTGATACAACTGTTAGACACTTTGTTCATTACCTATTTAATAGCCTTCTGATCCAATAATCGTTTTAATGGATACATTAAAAACAATGCGTTTCAAACAGTTAGATCAAAGCATTCCCATTCTGCGAGATTCTGGTCGGGAGGTGTTAGGGATCGAGTTCCGACGGCCGTTTTCTGGAAGAGAATACAACTGGCCGACTGCTCTAATCGGTAGCTTACTGTGGCTTCTCCCATCAATATCATACAAATGTCTAACAAGCATGCCGAGAATTACGCGCGATCTTTCCTTCCTCTTCCTTACTAAAGTCGCCCTTACACTTACTCCTACATTACCACACATGTCCATATGAGTCATAGGCAAGCCGATGTGTAGGTCGCGGCCGGATATGGACATGCAGTTGGGGCCGAACACCGCCAGTTCATGGAACAAACATTCATTACACTAACGGAACTGATGATCATTGGAGTTGACTGCCAAAAAACGTGGAGTTTTGAAACAGCACTAACAAACATTAATTCTGACGCCAGCGTGAATTTACAGCCCAAAAGAACAGTTTACAATGATTTTCCTACCGAAGACTCTAAATTTTTTTTTTCAGGGGACTTCCAATTCTTTTGCTCTCTATAGTATAGTGTATATTATATAGATCTGATAATATCCAGTTCAATAAAGTCCAGTTTATGCTTTAGGCGCAACTATTGTTCACACACAGCCGGATGGACGGACAGTCGTTTTTATATAAACCTTTTTTTCACTATCAAGGGGTTCCAAAAATGTGAATTTTTGGCAAAATCTCATTGTTGTTTGTAGGAATACATATATTTCTTTAAGCTAACAATACGAGAAAAAGATGAAGGATTAACAAAGTAATTTTTATACTTTGCAAATAATTAATTTCATCATTAAAATATCGTCAAAATATCCTGTATTGTTAAATGAGAACAAGGACGTCAACCTAATCTTGGATGTTCTCATTGTATTTCTTCTGAAATCCTTGGATGTGTTCTCTCTGATTGCGAGAGAGACTGAAGTGTTGAATTGTCGCTTTTTCGTGCAGCATAGCACGAATTAAACCATTTTAGATTCGAAGTGTTTTCTCTTTCCAATCGAGGTCGTTCCTAATAAATATTTTGTTTTATAAGGTCAGGCTTGATATCATGTAATTGCCGTTTTACATTGCTCAGGACAGACGATATCGCTGTTGGAGGTTCTTGCGTCGATGAATGTTATGTACACCATTTCCTTCATAAAAGTTATGTAACTTGGTAACTGGGGAAAATATGAATTTATCGCGTGTTATTTTAGAAGAAAATGAAAACGACTTTCGACAGTGATATAATCTCTGGAAATATAAAATTATATTGACGTTCGTCTCTGAATGACGACTATAATTCGTAGTTACATTTAATATTTAAAAATGTTCAGTCACAAATAGTAATATAATAAAATGATGTGAATTGAAAATTACCTTCGTATAGCAGTTCATATTTCTGCAACAGACGTTCGTCATTTTCCGTAACACAATATGGCGGCGACGAATGGGATGAACTATGAATGCGCTCGGTGGCGCATGGAGGTCTTCGAGGGCAAATGCTTTCCATTCCGAAATACAAAAGCCCCATGTATTGCTGCAAGCGGCATCACGTTGTGATGGAGACTCCTGCGTCATCGAGGTAAATGAGAATGAAGGTACAACGAAAACTAGAAGTTCTAAATCTGCACATATTTCTCGTATTACTGGAAATGGGTACATAATATTGAACTATATATTTTTTAGTATGGCAGAAAGTACAATTCCTGTCATGTATGTAAAAAGTCAGTTATAACTTTCAAAGAAAGTGCCAGTGATGCATATCTGTTTATTTCGATAGCTAGGAACAGTAGTAATGTCTAACTGTTACAAATGAAACAAACAGGAATAAATTTGTTACAGTAGTATTTTAATAGTACATTTTACAGAAAATACAGTGGAATATTTCACTCAAGCTGCCTTGATTGCTTCGAAGTTAGCTAACAATGTCTTAATACCATAATTAGCGGTTAAAATTTTTTAAAGTAAAATAAATAAATATGTTCGTTAAATATATTACTATATATTTTCTTTCGCAAGAAATATCTATATAACACGATCATCAGGACCGGCAACAATGTGAACCGTCGTGTTACCACGTCAAACGAAATGCGGGAAATTCGAATTCACTATTTCGAATGTTTCCAATTTATACGTTAGCTAAAGACACGGCGACTCGCTTAACTATCGCAACCTCCCACCCCCACCCCCCACCCCGAACTACTCCCAATTGCCATGGAGATGTCGTCACACACATTAAGGCGGCTCCACACATTCGGCATTCGCCGAGCAGCGAGCTACTGCTCACCTAATCCCGAACAGCTGAAGTGTTCGGCGAATGTTCGCTCCCTTTGGTGTGTGCTAAAGAGCGACACGCGGTGGGTAGGACGAATACCGAATGTTCGGCGCTCGGCGAATCGCAAGAACCCGTCCACACTACTCGGGATTCGGCGGATTCATCGAATGCCGCGTGTGTGGAACCGCCTTTACGCGCCCAGGTAATGCCCGTGAACACACTCCCGGCAAAACAAAGTTTGTCTACTTCGGAAACGAAATTTTCCAAACTCCCTGATAAAGGAATCCTTCCTGACCAATCCAAATGAAAAGTTGGCAGAAACTTTCAGAAGCAAACCGACGCGTGTGAGAACCAGCGACTGAGCGCCGCTGTGTCGCTACAAGTCTCGCGCTCCAAAGTTCTGAAACGCGATTGCTCAAGGGACCGCGCGGATGATTTGAGGAGGAGACTTTTTTCGAGGAATGTGCGCCTCGCGAAAGAGAGAGAGAGAGAGGGAGGGGAGGGGGAGAGATTTCTCAATTGCAGAGAGGAGCAGACATATCGACAAGAAAGCGTAAAAGTAAGGTTCGATTCGCCTGTCATCACAGGATCAGTTCAAGAAAGTTCCGCGCTAAATGCACGCATGCTCCAATGAACAGAAAATAACTCTATCATCGCAAGCGGCGAATTCATCGTGTAAAAGCGAAAATACGAGTATCGTCGCGACATCGAAACAACAGTCGCCGTCTCGGTACGCGGGAACCTGGGAACACCAGACGCAGCTGCCCGCCCCCGCCGCCCCGCCGCCCCCGCCGCCCCGCCGCCGCGCAGATCAGCACGAACCCCCCCGCCCCACACGTTCCATAGACAATCGATCCTGCTCTCGACCGCCCCGAAGCGCTTCTCCTCTGCGCCAGGCAGCTGACCCGCGAGTTCCAGCAATTGGAAGTACATTAGGCGAAGTGCAAAGCGAGTGTTGCCAAAAGAATTCACGTTCGACACGAGAAATCAAGATGCAAACAACTTTCATCAACTCAATCATTAATTTAAGAAAATATTGAACAGACTTGCAATGCACGCTATAATTAAATTATATTCTATCAAACACTAAGGTGATTGAAGAAGCCTATATTTCTGTTTGTGCAACTCTATCTACGATTTTTTAACAATTAATAAAAGAAATACGATTCCACATAATTAACAGACATATAATTTTGATATTAAATAACCAAGAAGCGCAATCCGGAGAGGCACATCCCAGAGGGTTCTATCGCCACCTTCGAAGAGCGACCGAGACAGGTGAGTCGTCGGATATCCTGTCGCCACCGGTGGATCGGCTTGGCCTCCAGCCCCTGGCAATTCGTCCGAGCATACAAGGACCCACATCCTGACTACACAACGCGCTAGAGGAAGCAATTTACTATGTACTGGGACTCGATTTATCCACTTTTTAG